TTTCTTAGTTTAACTTCTGAACCTACCTCACTTTCTCCATCATTCACTATGCAAGGTATCCAATCTTCTTGATGACCCAATCTTCTTGATGACCCCCCCCGACCCTCCCAAAAAAAATCAGTAAGCGTCTCTGCTACTTACACACTTTCTGTTGTTGTTTTTCCCTCTTCTTTGAGTAATGGTCCTACCCTGTCCTTGGTCTTCCTCTTGCTTCTAATATATTTGTAGAATGTTTTCTTGTTACCCTTTATGTCTCTAGCTAATTTGAGTTTTTGTGCATTTATCTTGCCCCTGCATACTTGTGGTGTTTGTTTATATTCATCCTTTTGTAACTTCTACTACAACCTAGAAAAACTATCTGGGCCAGTCAGCCTTAGAAATGGAAAAATCCTAGCACAAATTGGTAAGTCTGTATGAAGAAAGTATAACTTAAGTTGCATGCTCAGTTATTCCTGTAGTCTGGAGATCACCATCTGTCTCCCTAACCTTGGCATCAGTACAGGGGCATATTTTTCACAAGAATGAACCATTCCTGAATAATTTATATGGTTATATTGGGCACAAACAGGCTTTTCTTCCACATCCGGCATAAATGTTTTCTTCTGCTAACATTTATTGGGAGGAAATTCCTACGCTGTATTGATGTTTGTCTTTGAGTTCATCTGATCCTATCTCAGGTTAATGTTTGGAGTAGCATAGAATCTTGCTCTTGTTTGTGTTCAGAGAAACTTTAATCAAAGCTCTCATCTTAAAGTAACCACTAGTGGTTAGGTTGCTTTTCTGGTGGAAATGTGTCTAGATTCCAGTACCGCTGTAGTTAAGAAATGTAAGTATAGGTGAAGCTGAACAATGTAAAATAGTTGATACACATTTCTGGATAAATGAAACCTAAACCTACTTTAAATGGCACTGCTGACTTCAGTGGGAGTTCTAAGTGTAGGGTGATAGCAGAATATGGCCAAGTAATAACATATTAATAACCAAGGTATTAGTTATTTATGAAGACTTGAAGGGCACAGTGAAACTTGTGGTGATGCATGGTAAAACGCTGGTGTGTGGAATTAGGAGGGTTTTTTCTTAGAGGATTTGAGTAATATACTTTTAGCTCTTAATAGAGAAAATATTTTCCCAAAGATGTAGTTTTGAAGCAAGCCATGTTTGATCTACGGGTGGGTGCTACAGTTCTTTTAGTCATTTCAGGTGAATAGTTATGTATAGGGAAACCTTTAAAGAGATTGCAATAGTAAAGTCAAATTTGTTCATGAGGGAAGAACAAAGTTGAATTAACTTTGCCAGAAAGGGGGAGGAGGCATTTCCAAAGAGGTACCAAGTGACACCCCTCTACTTATTTGTTCAAGAAAGTAATTCTCCTTCAAGTCAATAGGACTACTCATATGAGGAAAAGAAGTAGGATATATTCTATAACTGAGCTAGGCAGAATTTAATTTTTATGAAATAATTTTAGCAGATACGTAAACTTCTGATTATCCGGCACCTTTAGGACCCAGGGGGTGCCGGATTATCAGATATGCCAGAGTACCGGAAGGGGGGCCATGAGGGGTCTGGGGTGGGGTCAGCGGGGAACTGAGCAGCATGGGGGGGGGCGGCATGTTCCAATCGTTTTAAAGCTTTAACTTTTTGAATCTCAGTGCCTAGTCATTAAATAATTATCTGATCTCATCCATAGTTTCCCACAACTGTGAAAAATGAAATACTTAAAAGAAACTTAAAATAAAAACAGGTACAGTAAAACTCCAATTGTCTGGCATCCAGTGGTCTGGCACTCCTGATAGTCTGGCACCAACTGGAACCCGGAAGTGCTCCGGCCAGCCGGACAATTGGAGCTGTTCTGCCCCAGGGCTTCCCCAAGTCCACCGCTACTGAAACTGACCAGCGGTGGACTTGGGGAAGCCCTGGGGCAGAACAGCTCCAATTGTCCGGCTGGCCGGAGCACTTCCGGGTTCCAGTTGGTGCCAGACTATCAGGAGTGCCAGACCACTGGATGCCAGACAATTGGAGTTTTACTGTACCTGTTTTTATTTTAAGTTTCTTTTAAGTATTTCATTTTTCACAGTTGTGGGAAACTATGGATGAGATCAGATAATTATTTAATGACTAGGCACTGAGATTCAAAAAGTTAAAGCTTTAAAACGATTGGAACACAAATTATCAACATCACATGTCAAAATATAAAAAGTAAACTCCTTAAACTCAGTTTTCAAGAAACATTTTGTCTGTTTTTGGCCAGCTGTACATTTCAGTAGTTATCCCTGGAAATATTTTTCATGGGTTTCAGTGTGAGATGTTTTCAGGCCTACTAATATACAGTAACCTACCTACCCTCTCCCCCCTCCATGGGGCTGGAGTGTCAGGGGACTGAGGGTCTCAGTTGGGGCCACATCAGTGAGGGGTGTGTGTGTGTGTGTGTGTGTTTTGGGGGGGGGGTTGTTTTTTTATGTCTCACTTGTGTGGTCCCTGACTGATTTTTCTGTGGGTCAGTGGACCCTGACCCAAAATAGGTTCCCCGTCCCTCCCATAAATAAAGACAATGCTGAAACGTTTTGTGTTGGACATATTATTTTATTTAATGAAGCCTGGCCAACAAGCTCCCAACTGGGGCCAAGCCCCCATCTGGCCGCAGCATAATAACACTCCTGAACCGCCCAGAGACCCAAACCCTGAGCCCATTCTGCACCTCAGCTCCTCTCATCCCCAAACTTTTGTACTACCCACATCCCCATTCTTTTGCCACAATACTCCTGCACCATCCACACACTGCAAACCTGTGTCCTGAGCCCATCATATACCCAGTCCCCTGCCCAGAGTCCCTCATGCACCCCAACCCAAACTCCTACACCTCCACAAGCCTGCATCTTGTTCAGCCCCCCAACACTCTTCATCCAGGAGCCCCTTTCCTGAGCTCGCATCCCCTTCTCCATCTCCTCCTGCACTGAAATTCTCTTTCAGAGCTTGCACCTCTCACCCCCTTCCCACACCCAAATCCCTCGTTCCCACCCCAGAACCTGCACCTCCTGTCTCAATCCAGTGAGAGTGAGTAAGGACTGGGGATGGCTTGTGATGCAGAGGAGGGGAATGCAGGGCCTCAAGGAAAAGGTGGGGTCTTGAGGAAGGGATGGGTAGATCTCAGCTAGCCCTGACTTCCCTCATGCACCCCAACCCAAACTCCTACACCTCCACAAGCCTGCATCTTGTTCAGCCCCCCAACACTCTTCATCCAGGAGCCCCTTTCCTGAGCTCGCATCCCCTTCTCCATCTCCTCCTGCACTGAAATTCTCTTTCAGAGCTTGCACCTCTCACCCCCTTCCCACACCCAAATCCCTCGTTCCCACCCCAGAACCTGCACCTCCTTTCTCAATCCAGTGAGAGTGAGTAAGGACTGGGGATGGCTTGTGATGCAGAGGAGGGGAATGCAGGGCCTCAAGGAAAAGGTGGGGTCTTGAGGAAGGGATGGGTAGATCTCAGCTAGCCCTGACTTTTAAAAGTGACCTTGGGTGTAAAAAGGTTGGAGACCACTGTTGTAAGGTATGCAGCTGCACAGTTGCAGTTCAGCTGCTCCCCTCCCCCCTATTCCCC